CTAAGATTATTGCATTTTCAGAATTTAACCGGAATCCTAACCACATAAAGATGTGGAAGTTAATTTCAAGCTTTTAGCTGAAGACATAGTCGCGAACGATGTTCCCAAAATTTCAGCTTCCTAGCTTTCACCATTCTGCAGTTAATTATCCGGACGCATACGGATGCAAACGTGCCTAAGCACAAACACACAAACAGACACATGCGCGCTATTATGAAAGGAGAATTTGCTCAAACCTTTAAAAAATCCATATTTCAGACGCGAAAAATGCAGCGGCAATGTATGGGTTTGTACACTATGAGGTATCGGTAGCGTTGAATTTAGATATCGACGATTTGCTTGTTGGACTGATTGCCGAAATCCGGGAATCAGTGAAGCCAAATCGACCCTCATTTCTTGATAATGTTGAGGTATAATTTGAAATTTCCAGCTGCAATGGATTTGATTGGATGAAAAATTGCCTAAGCTTCTATTGTATTTTGAAGTTTAATTTTCATCTAGAAATCCCAGTTTTTTACTTTACTTCAAAAAGCGCTAATTTATAGTGCGGTTCTCCAGCTATGCAGCTGACATGCACAGCCTGGTGATCAGCTGCTGACGGTCTGAACGTTTACTTCCCTCTCCTGAAGTGATTGTCAGGCCAGTGGTTCCTTCGGCAAAAGCGTATAGCAAGAATGTGCCTTTTTTCAATATGTTTTTGGTGTGCACTGAACATCGGTACCCTGTCTTGAATGTCGCCTGTTCTAGATCCTGAAGAAGCAAAGTACTCGATAGATTCTGCATTTTACAAAAACAAATTATTGCATTTACTACTTGTAAGATATTTCAGTTTCATGAAATAAGCGCCGATTAATAATGCCGTTTACTGGTTGAATTCAGGCTTATCGTGTTGAAAAATTAAGCCACCTTTAAAATTTTGCCTGCAGATTGCTACTGCTCGAGCTACCTTCAAATACTTCTGCCTCTCTAGGAAGTGAATTGCAAAACAACACTTGAAAAATACCCTTTTTAAATAAGATTTTCGAATTCCAATCGACTATTTCTTTCGAAAATGAAGAAAAAAATGTTTTTAGTCATTTTTTGAAATAAAGTTTTCGCGGGAAAATATTGTTGTTTCGAGGAGGAGTTAAGTAAGAAATTAATGGTCGAAAATTTCCAATATTCCACTGATTTTTTTAGGCCTCGGATGAGAGCGTCAGCGCCGAGGCAGAAGAAGAGCCAAGTGATTTTAAAGCTGCAATAAGACGATACTCAAAAAGAAAAAGAGAACAAATGGGTGGTGCTGTTGAGGTTTTCTTCCATTCCATTTCCTTAAATCTTACAAAAATCTTGAAAATTACCAAAAAGTTTCATGATTTTTCTCCAAAAAAAATTTCTTGATTCTCTTCAAAAAACCAATGCTATTGAAAAAATTCACAATTCATCAGCTTAAATTTTAGAAAAACTAACAAATTTTCTGTCAATTCCTGATTCTCTTCAAAGTATTTAACGATTTTTCTCGAAGAGGTAATGCCGCTGAAATCAATTTACGATAACTAAATTGGCGAGAAAATTTGATTTTTTAAAAAATTTAGTGATTCCCCAGAAAATTCATGGGTGTTTAGAACTGTCCTCTGATATGTTTTAGATGCTCATTATCGTTATCCAGAAAGTATTTGCAGGCAAAGACAAATAAATGCACTCATTTCAAGAGCAACCTTATTGAACGCTTTCGCAAT